ACGGGGACAATGGGGACAATGACACCGGGATGGGGACACGGGGACACCGGGGACATGGGGACACCGACACTGCCACCACCCCCCCGAACCGCGGAGTGTCCCGGGATAATAACGGGGACAATGGGRACACCGGGGACATGGGGACACCGCCACTGTCACCGGGGCACGGGGACACGGGGGTCATGGGGACACCGGGACATGGGGACGGAACGGGGGACAATGACACCGAGATGGGGAAACTGGGACACGGGACACGGGGACATGGGGACACGGGAACATGGGAACATGGGGACACAGGGACATGGGGATACGGGGACATGGGGACACGAGGACACGGGGACATGGGGAAATGGGGACATGGGAACATGGGGACACGGGGACATGGGGATGGAACGGGGGACAATGACACCGGGATGGGGACGATGGGGACACGGGGACAGCTCCACCAGGGCCCGGGGACATCGCCACCGCCACCGGGACACGGGGACACGGGGACACGGGGACATGGGGACACCGCCACTGCCACCACCACCGGGACACGGGGACACCGCCACCGGGGACATGAGGACACCGGGGCGATGTCACCCAACCATGTCACCGATTGTCGCCCCCTCCCCTGCAGTCCCCCGGCGCCGTGGCCACCCCGGGCTCCCTGGACCTGCTGGACCTCGTGGGCAACTTGTCCTGGTCCTACTACGACAGCGACAGCGACGGCGACAACGCCAGCGCTGTCACCTACCCGGACTACGACGACGCCACCCCGTGCCACAACCCCTTCTGTCCCCTCTTCCAGCGCGYGGCCCCGCCTTTCCTGGCGGCCACCAGCGCCGCGGCCGCGCTAGCCACGGGCTCGTTGCTGGTAGCCCTGACCAAGCGCCCCCGAGGCTGGCGGTGGCCACAGAACCGCGCCTTGGTGGCCCAGCTAGCCTTGAGCTGGGCGCTGTTCGCCGCGCTGCTGCCACCGCTGGCCTCGGGGGTGGCCCGCGGGTGGCACTTGGGGACAGCTCCGTGTCGCCTGACGCACCTGGCGTGGCACTGGAGCGTCTTTTCGCAGGCGCTGCTGGTGGCCAGCGGCTCGTTCAGCTCGGTGTGGGCTAGCTGGGACCCTCGAAGTCGCCGCTGGGCTGTGGCCCTGTGGGCGACCGCGCTGTTTTTGGCCACTCCGGCCGCGCTGGTCAGCGGAGTGGCCGCGGGCAGCGGTTGTGTCCGGAGAGCTGTGGCCATCCTRAGCCCGGTTTATCTGCTGCACCTCGCCCTGTGCGTCCTTCTGCTGCTGCTGCTGCCCGCTGGGCTAGTGCTAGCCACGCTGGCCGGTGTCCGGGCGGGCCGGAGGGCCGGAGCCGGGCTCTGCTGGGCTTTCTCCGCGCTCTGGGCGCCCTTCGGAGCGGGGCTGGCGGCGGAGCTGCTGCTGCAGGCGGGGCTGCTGGAGCAGAGCTGCGGCTCCTTCGAGCGCTTCGACCTCATCGTGGGGCTGAGCGAGGG